TGGTATAGTTGCAGCACGAATTGGTCGGTTCGACCGGGGAAGGACCACGCTCTCACAGAATACCAGCGTAAAATAGCAGCTTAACGCTGCTGTGTTTCGTATGGTGTGTGTAGAGAACCGGAGACCCTTTATACTGGAAACGAGGCACTCCATCTTAGTCCTCACGGGTGACAACGCGTCTGCCTTTTGATTCGTAATCGAGGATAGATGTAGATGTCTATGGGTCACAGCAACCACTTACCATTAGGTGGACTGTGTGCTCGTTTGTCACGCATATCCTATAAAAAAATATGCGAAAAAGACCGCCACCGGAGCTATTGCCTACTATGCCGTGTTGATTGAAATTGTAAAACTATGGCCATAAATCGTGGCTACACCTAGGTGTTGTTTCAATTATGGCCATAATTATTGCCGTATCACGGTAGTATGGCCGTTGGTGTTCATCAAATACAAAAAGTTACAGCAAATAAATGCATGTCAAGATTATGTTTATTACACACTTTCTAGCAGGTGGTCGCATAGTTGATTTCTCTATATATCGACAATGCCTTATAAAAACGCTACAGCTGGTAAGCCCTGGGCACTTATACTGATCAGTTGGACTCGTGAGAGCATAAAGACCACATTCCTACTGGCAATCGCCCACCACTAGGCATTTGGAGAAAAGTTGGTCTTTCCAACTCACCGAAATGTTATATCTAAATTTCCAGATTAGTGGTAGGGGATCAAAATTACTAGCGAGTTTGTTAACCAGTAACTAGTGGGTAGGTAGGTTGGTAGATAGGTAGGTAGGTAGGTAAGTAGGTAGATTGGTGGGAAGGATAGTAGTAAGTTATCTGCTTTGTTCTTATGAATCTGCCTGCCCAGTGTGGTGAGTACGGGACACCGTGCTGGTTATGCGTGTCGCTTCTTCTATACGTGGTAGAGCCATGCTGCAGTATATTAATAGTTGTAGCACGAATGGGTCGGCTCGATCGGGGAAGGAACACGCACTCACAGAATACCAGCGTAAAATAGCAGCTTAATGCTGCTGTGTTTCGTATGGTGAGTGTAGAGAACCGGAGACCCTTTTTACTGGAAAAGAGGCATTCCATCTTAGTCTTCACGGCTGACAACGTATCTGCATTTTAATTCGCAAACGAAGATAGATGTAGCCACAGCAACCACTTACCATAGGTAGACTGTGTGATCGTTTGTCACCCTTATTCTATAAAAAAAAAACTTGGCTCATTGAAAGAGAGGTTTATGTCCTAAATTACGGTTGTTTTAGCATTAACATTATATATTATATACAATTATATACAATGAAACCAAACCTCAACGTTAAAACGAAGCACCAGAGCTACACTACAGTAATGGACTTAATAAAGCTGTTGCTAATGTTGATTATGATTAACTGATGTAGATATTATAATAAAACATGTTTTCGAAGGTAACTGGTCCTTGATGTTAATAGTTGTGAGTTTTGCTTTGTGATAATAATTGATAACCACATCGGTTTTGTACGCGGTGTAGATCTGCGGCAGCTATATTATTTTGTACGTGGTGGAGCTCTGCGGCAGCTATATTATTTTGTACGTGGTGGAGCTCTGCGACAGCTAAATTATTTTGTACGTGGTGGAGCTCTGCGGCAGCTATATTATGGTTGTAGCACGAATGTGTCGGCCCGACTTGGTCCCGATCACGCTCTTACAGAATACCAGCGTAAAATAACAGCTTAATGCTGCTGTGTATCATATGGTAGTGTAGTACTGGAAACGAGGCATTCTTTTAATTCATTATTTTAGTAATTCTTATTTTAGGAAAGATGTAGAGTTCTATGGATCGCAGCATCTATTTACTTGTACATCAGGTGGACTATGCGCTGAAGTTCACCTTCTATAAAATAATTTGAATGTGAACGTAACATGATGTAGTCTTAGATAACTTGTTCAACTGAATTTATAAACACAGACCTGTGTAACTAAATATGAAAAAATAATGTAGCTTCATTTTTGCGTTGCAAATCTTGTTCGTTCGAAAGATCGTTTAAATGTCAATGTCTTCAACTTTCAATTTAAGGTTTTGCTGAATTTATGAAATGGGAAACTTATAATTTTATTACAAGGCGGCTCGATAAATTTAATAATATTCAAGCTGTCATCGAATGATTAATATCAGATTCCTACACTCAACAAACGTCTCGGTCTATAACATTCCCCTTTTGATGTTATTATCCGACTTCAAAAAAAGGAAGAGATTTACAATTGTATATAAAAATTGTACGTATTTTGTATGCTACGTGATCGGGGACGTGATCTTTGTCAGTTGTGAAGCGATTTTGTTGAATTTTTTTTTTATTGTATTGTCTTATATAAATTTGGTGAAAATAAACGTGCTAAATAGGGAATGGAGTTTTTATTGTAACTATTTACACGACATTGAGATTGCAATCTCTTAGTCCACTCAAAAGGGTAAAAAAATTTGAGAAATTTAGCAATAATAATTAGAATTTTTAACAAAACGTAAAAACCGACTTCAAATTGCTAAAAATAATTTATTATTTGCTCCTTAAGGGTGGATTTTTTTTCAAATTTATATGGGTTCATCATCTGCGAATATATCGCGTAACATACATACAAACAAAAAACACTTGAATTGAGAACTTCCTCCTTTTTGTAGTCGGTTAAAAAAAAGAACACGCACTGAAAGCGCGTTTGTACTGAAACGGAGGTAAATAGGTTATATATATTTCAGGGGTGATCTCATATAAATTTGGAAAAAATATGCCAGCCTTTAGCCTTTTGGGTGATAAATATGGGAATGAAGTTTTTAGTGTAAAGTTCTAGATGACATTGAGGTTGTGATATTCTTTAGTTCAATCTACAGGGTAGAAAAATAAGTTTTATGAAGAAGTAAAAGCCGACTTCAATAAACTAAAAAAACACATACGCAACGATATGGGGCAGTTAAAAATAAAAGAAATTACTTGTTTTACGCAAAATTACTTTGCGTAAAAACTATTAATTTGAGTACAATTATTCGAAGTACATACTAACAGCATCCTACCGGAATGTTAAAATAAAACATCATAACACCCGGATATAGGCACGGGGGATTGGCTATCTATTCCGGTTCAATATCGAGCTGCACCCGGATGAAACCTGTCCCTCTTGCACTTCAAAAGAGTGAGGAGAAACGTTGTAAGCTACTGGTAAAGTTAGGCACAAGGCTGTCATAGAATTTTAGATGTAAGAGATATAGAATTTTATGGTTTATTTTTTAAGTTAGGCTTTCAAACGAGCACTCTGTGTAATTCTACATATCTATAAAAGAATATTAAAAAATAAAAAATGGATCCAGCCTGAGTCCCATAGATATCAACATCTATCTATATTCGGTTAAGATTCAAAGAACATATTATACGTTGCCATCCCTGATGAATAATACGCAGTCTCGTTATAGTAAAAAGGGTATCCGGGCCTTTACACTCATCATATGAAACACATTAAGATCGGATCCAGGATACCAACTAGGGGGACAGGGAGATGAGTCCCAGATCTATGCTCATGATTAGGAGGAGAAAAACGCAAGATAAATCTAAAAGCGGAGGCATTAAATAACCCAAGAAATAATCAGTTATTTTATAAAAAATATTTTTGTCATTTACCTACAAATTGAACTTTTTATAGGAAAAGCGTGACAAACGAGCACACATTCCACCTGGTGGTAAGTGGTTGCTGCTGCCCATAGATATCTACATCTAACCTCGATTACGAATCAAAATACAGATGCGTTGTCAGTTGTCACCCGTGAAGACTAAGATGGAATACCTCGTTTCCAGTAAAAAAGGTTATCTACATTCACCATACGATACAGCAGCGTTAAGCTGCTATTTTACGTTGGTATTCTATGAGAGCGTGGTGCTTCCCCGGTTGAGCCGACCGAGCTACAATTATACTACTAATATAGCTACAGCATGGCCTTATCACGTAAAAAACCACGTGTATCGAGTTTTATTTTTCCTAAGTAATACCAGTAAGTCGCAGTCAGGGCAACAAAACATCTTTCGGCTTTTACTGTTACTGGTATCGCCGCTAGAATGTAAATAGCCCAGTGTGTGTAATACGAGTGTTCAGGATTCAATCAACGGTCAGTTGGATAACGCATGCTCATATCATAATAATGTACTCCATATTGCCAAATTCCAATTGCAGACTGGTTCTGGCAGAATTATTTTAAAAAAATCCTAATATCTGATTTTTGGCCCAACCATGGATTCCAACCCGGAACCATATGAACAGCGGTCGTGCTTTCGAACACTAGACTAATGACGTAGTCAAAAGCGTAGCATACAAATTATGCTACAATGCCGATCGTTTGTGTTGACAATCAAAGAAAGTTTTCTAAAATTAAAAAAAGCTTTCAAATTGCCCATGATTTATTTAAATATCCGTCTATTTTATTATATTAAATATTTTTCAAATAAGTATTTTTTTATATAATATACAATTTGGTCGTAGTTATATTATTATTTTAGAGCCATGTAGGTAGTATGAAAAAGTCTGAAATACGTAATGTCCCGGTAGATGGCAGTAAAACCAAATATTTTTTAAATGTTACCGATTAACGGTAGGATTCGTGAAGGCAGTTTACAAACATAAATTTCACAAGGACAAACATCCAGACCCGGAACAATTATTTGTAGGCCATACAAATACTTGTTCCATGCGGGATCCGCAACGCGCCGCGCTCTTCAGCACCGCAACTCAAGCTAAGCCACTACGCCACAGAGTCGTCAAGAACAGCAGATGTGAAATACGGCGATGAGAAAACGTTGAAGATACGAGACGTCTGGTATTTACTGCGATAGTAAATCCGCCTGCTAGAACGGGTAGCTATTCTGGAAAATCCTTTTTTTTTTCTTGGGGAGGCTCATGACGAACAAAAGACGGTTACGGGGTCATAAAGAAGATTGAAAGTAAATATTATAAAAGGCATTAAAAGAGTTATTGACTCACCCCAATATGATGCCCATCGACAAACAACTGCGGAACCAGTATCTGGTCGCTCTTCATCCTGTCCCGTATCTCGTCCTGGTACTCGGTGCTCATGAACACGTCCCTTTCATCGAACTTCACGAGCAAATTCCTGAGGATTTTCTTCACTAGCACGCAGCGTTGATACGTGCTCCTGACTATACCCATCGTAGTTGTGTACACGACGACTTTGCCCGCGTCTTTTTCTTTATAGCTCTGTAAAAAATATAAATTAAGTTAGTAACGCCGTATGGTACTGGTGTAAAATATGGCGGCGGTGTTAAAGAATTAAAAAAGAAATTTCTTCTCGTGGCAACTATAGGAAACGACAAAAAAGATATGCTTTCATATAATTATCTTCTATATGGTAGATGTAAAAACCGTTGTCCGACACTACGTTAATGGTGCGAAACCATGAACTTTGTATTTGCTTCATGTGCGAAACTCAATCCACCTGTCAAGCTTAGCAATTACAATAAATTTTTACTATAAATAGCGCCATCTACAATGAATATATTACATTACCACATGCAAAGTTTATTTAGCCCAATTTAGTGTTACAATAAAATGATAATAGATGGTACTAAAATTAATTTATACAAACGTAGAAATTTAAAAAATTCTTAAATAAAAGTAGTTTAATGAAACTATTTATTTGCTATGCAAAGAGTTCCTACGTTATTTATTACGTTATAAATATCTGAAGGAAGCGGGCAAAGCGACGGTAGCAAGGTTGTTAGTAAACATTATCTTATTAATATTCTAAACATTTGTTTTATATTATGATGTTTATTTTTAAGACACTGTGGAAATATAAAAATATAAAATGAACTGTTTTCTAGGGATACTAAAAAATAACAAAATTGTCGTCGCCGCTAATGTACATCTGACATGACACCAGGGCAATTATAGGTCATTACTAATCTTTGAGGAAGAATCTAACTCGTTTGCTGAAGATCGGTAAGTATTTGTTTATAGAATTGGTATGAAAAACATGTACACAGTACCCCTGATGGTAAGTAGATGCTGTAACCAATAGACATCTACATTTACCTTCGATTAAGAATCAAAATGCAGATTCGTGGTCACCCCTGAGGACTACGATGCAATGTCTCCTTTCCAGTAAAATGGGTCTCCGGTTCTGTGCACACAAAGCTGTTTCTGTGAGAGCGTGGTCCTTCCCCGGTCATGACGACCCATTCGTGCTGCAGCGTAAGTAAGTCATACCGGTCCAGAAAAGTTGCTAGTGACTGTAGAAATATTCCGGAAAATTGCAATTAGTCTTGGGACATCGATCGTTAATCCACTGCCAATGTGATGGTGATAGATTTTCTATTAAACCTTTAGCTGGTTAGCCTGATTTTTTGTCTAGGAGTTCAAAGTCAAAGTCAAAATATTTTTATTCATAATTGACTTTCACATTCGTGTTACTACCATAATATAGCTGCACCATGGCTCTACCACGTATAATTTACTATTTATCACCATAGCATACATAAAGGTCAAAGCGCGTTATAAAGGACAATTGTCAACCAAATAATTATAATGGACTGCAAAAATATTAACAGTGTTGTTTTTAAAGTAAGATTTAAATAAAAATATATTAATTCATATAAATCAATCGAGATTTTTGTGTTCCATCGAAAAATAGCGATTGTATGCATGGTTTAAGTTAAAAATAAACAAAACAACGTGACGACTTTTTTACACAATGGCTTCTCATTTTACATTTTTCCCGATTAGTGTAGGGTTTTGTCTCCCAAGTTTTTTTTTAATTCTATATTATAATTTAATACAAGTAAAAGCGTAACGCTATATTAGGAGCCAACCGCGAGCTGTGATGGTAGCTCATAACTCCACTCAGAAAGCCGTGGAAGTTCAAATGCTAAGTGCTCGCTGTAAATTGCACAGTACGCGAGTAACCCGGGTTCGATCAAAAATCAATAATTTTTTTATGTGCAATTTTAAATTCTGATTTATTATGTGCTCAGTAATGAAGGTAAACATCGTGAGGAAACCGTATACAGTCCATCATCACGCATTGTCGTAGCTACAAACTAAAAATGTCAACCCTATCTCAAGTAGGTTATGGTTTAGTGCAACATTTGGTCGTTAAACTGTCAACCGCAACTTCTCATGTGTTGCGTACGCATTTGCGTTGCGCAACTTCCTTCTGGGCAGTCAATGCGTAGTCTTATGTGATTATGTCCGCTTAGTTTTTTTTAGTTTTTTTTTCCATCATATAAATCGTATAAATTAAAATAAAGAATCTTCTGTGGTAGCTGTCCTTAGGCTACAGTGCTTATTATTATCAAGAGAACTGAAAGAAAACATCCTGCCATCTCATTCCGATTTTTCTTAGGAGTAGACTTGGAAAAATTCTCGCTAAATCCAATGAGGACCATATAGTTGGTATAAACCACGCCTCTCACTTCACCCCGGACGTAAAATTACTATATAGTATATAGTGATGTTTTAACTCACGAAGGCGGGCAAACCTTTCTTTACTTCATAGCAAAAGACACATTAATTATTTTTTTACAATCCTACGGTCGAGTCGTGTCAGTGTAAGAAAATGTCATTACCCCTTTTTTTATAGGATAAGGGTGACAAACGAGCACACAGTCCACCTGATGGTAAGTGGTTGCTGTGGCCCATAGACATCTACATCTATCTTCGATTAAGAATCAAAATGCAGATGCGTTGTCACCCGTGAGGACTAAGATGGAATGCCTCGTTTCCAGTAAAAAGGGTCTCTGGTTCTCTACACTCACCATACGAAACACAGCAGTGTTAAGTTGCTATTTTACGCTGGTATTCTGTGAGAGAGTGGTCCTTCCCCGGTCGAGCCGACCCATTCGTGCTACAACCATAATATAGCTGCAGCATGGCTCTACCACGTATAAACTAACCCCCTAACTAAACCCCTTATCATTCCATGGGTATCGTAAAAGACGACATAGTATTTAAAACAGGAGACGGGCAGCAGCATCTTCCTGAAAACAACTCAAAAATAACAAAAAAACTGCAGTTTCCAATCTACCTGCCAAGCGTGACAACTACTTAACTCTATGAGGCAGATCATGGTCAATGTTTAGCTGAGGCCTTTATACAAGCTGTAATGTAGAATTTCTGCGAACAACTTTTCTCCGTTTACTTTTAGTTCTGACGGTACTCGTCATTTTCTACATGACCAAACCACCGAAGCATTCCTTTCTTAATCCTGGCTACAACGTCATCTTACAAACCATACTTTTCTCTTATCACACAATTTCTTAACCTGTCATTCAGATCCAGCCCTACATACTGCTTAATGACTTCTTCTGTAACACCCTACTTTCACTACCATACATTTAGACAGGGACACAGCATTGTGAATTTTTGACGTATTCTGACTTCACGCTTCACTACCATGCTAGATTAGACTAACACAGCATTGTGAATTGCCATACATGCTCTTTTGACGTATTCTGACTTCACACAATAAAGTTAAGATCCCTATTTATTCTGTGCCCTGAGTTCACTCGTCGCTCTATATCCTTGTTATATCTACCAACCTTTATATACACACACCCCAAATACAAAAACTCACCCACTTACTCAATTCACTAATAAGTCAAATATGCAGAACTACACACTGGTTCTTATTTAATTTTAACGTAAGTCACGCATACGTATGTAGGCAAACATATCGTGCTTAGGATTTTAGTTTTATATTTTATAAATATTACCTCAAAACCGCACATAAAACAATTTTGTAATAATACTGAAAATGTTTTATGTGTTAAATATAAAATAAAAGGTTTGGCACTCCTGACAAATTATTAGGTGGAAACATGTTCATACAAACGTCACAGATTTTCAATATTAGCACAAAGTGTGATGTAATTTCTTGGTTATTATATAAATAGAATTCGAAATTTGTTATTACCCTTTAGTGCTAACTGCTGTTCCAGTCACATTGCCATCTTCAGTTATATCATCAGCAAACAGATTGTTGTATAGACATAGAATGATGTAATCGTCAGCCATTGTGTTCGATTGATTAACAACATCGTTATTTATGCTTATTGTAAGTTGTTTTAAATTACATATTATATTCGCCTAGTTTGGAAATTTGCATAATTTAAGAAAGAAGAAGAACGTACAAAGTTTATTAAGTTTAGAGATGTTTCTCAAATGAATTTGATTTATTAGCACGAAGATACATATGAAAAATAGCAAATCTAATATTTTTGTTTTCCATGAGTTCCTTACACAATTACACGTGATTGAGCTACGCTGTATACGTGGTAGAGCCACGTTGCAGCTATATTAGTTGTAGCGCGAATGGGTCGGCTCAACCTGAGCAAGACCACGCTCTCACAGGATACCAGCGTAAAATAGCAGCTCAAGGCTGATGTATTTCTTATGGTGAGTGTAGAGAACCGGATACCCTTTTTAGGGGTTACAATGCATCTGCATTTTGATTCCTAATCGAGGATAAATGTAGATGTCTGTGGGACACAGCATCCACTTACCATCAGGGGGACGAAATGCTCGTTTGTCATGTCCTTATTCTATTAAAAAGAAATCTTATACAATTAATCCGATTACTATGAAACTTTATTGAGTTGCAAACGCCTGCAAAGTTTCTTGACAAAACAGCTAGTTAGAGAGTCAGTTATACATACAAACGCTAGATTATAAATGGCCAAAATTCATTGAAACTTGCACAATCTCAATGTATTAGACTTCACAGTTTATGTGAAGTAGTAATAACTAGATCAAGGGTAACGGCACTGCGCCAATGAACCCGCATGCAAATACGGAAATATATTATTTTTATAAAAGATGGGGCAAACGAGCATGCGGCACACCTGATGGGAAGTGTCAACAGCCGCTAATGGCCAACTGCGACACCAGGGGAATCGCAGGTACGTTGCCGGGCTTTTAAAAAAGAGTAGGCTCTTTTTAAGTAGTATCGGTTCGGAAAAATCACTGGTTGTAGTCGATTCCTCAAGGAAGTTGTGCGAGAAAGAAATCTTGTAAATCGCACAGTGGACCGCTAATCATCCAGATGGTATGGGTGCCATTGCGAGTTTTGTCGCGAGGTGCAATGGTGAAATTGAACGGCTGGAAGTTTTTGTAAATTTCAACTATAGCATCGCTTTGCGTATTTTTGGTATGCCTTTTTTTATAACTAAGAACGAAATGCGGTTATGAATATCTTTATT